TCGGTTATAACCGGCCAAAAAAATACGTCACACGTCATCTGTAGGTGGGATCACAGCAGACCACCCTTCTTGGCTTAGTGTTCAGGGAATTTAGTCAAAAGCATGGTTTCGTACTCTGACGATCTCTGTGATCGCAAGCTAAGTAAGTATTCGTCGTGATCAGATTATATCTGCTCTCAAATCCAGAGCTACAAAATCAAGTCGATCTTTCCTCGACTTTCGGATAGGCAAATTTACAAAGTTCCCATCCTCCCAAGCTATCTGTTGAAGCAAAATAAAAGGTAAAAAACCAGGGAGTCTTCGAAACTAAGCTATTCTTCATAAAACCTGTGGCAATATGGCATGGTGGCTAATGAGTCGAAATCATACGCTGTATTGACATTGTTTGAGTCCCGCTGGGGGTATTGCTGAGATCTAGGCGAGGTTGAATCTACAGCTCACTTCTGTCTGGATGCGAGTAACATTTAGAAAGTAAGGCTATGTGAACTTCAATTGTAAAATGAGGTCTATTCATATCATTGTGAGAATATTCAACTATCATTGCCCCATTATCACCTTAAACAAAATTGGGTGAATTCACCTCATATACATGATCGACTAGCAGTCTCGAAAACCGACATATTAGCTGAAAATATGTTATCACAGAAGCCTTTCACAAAAATCTCCTAACAATTCAACGTGTATAGATTATACTCTGCACTATTACAATTCAGCTTCGAGTCCCGCTGAGAGTGCTGATGAGACCAGTTCGGACGGGGTCGAAAGTTCATTCCACTCCTGACTGGATGAGAATACCTGTTGGGAAGCGCGGTTATGTGAAATAAAATGTAAGCATGAAGCTTACTCATATGATGATACAACAATTAAACCACCATTCTTTCTTGACGTTAAACGAAATAGGGTGAACACAGCTCGTGAAACACTCCGCACTGTAGCTGCAGGGCAGTCATTTTTCCTCTAAACAACTCAACTTCTCTTGCATCATTATCGACTCAGCGTCCACTCTCTGTTTACCCAAGTTACATTTGTGCTATTGAAACCTCTTCTGGCTCGACCAATTGATGACTCCTACGTCTGCACTCGGACGTGTAGGGATTGGGATGCTGATGTACGTCCCTAAAAATGGCCTCTTTTTACTGATACATCCTGTCAGAAACAATGCATAGCAGTTTGGATAGAGGCGAGGTGAGAAATAAAAGATGCAACCTATGCGCGCCCGCAGTACAGGAAGCAGCGCGTCTTCAGGCAATTTTCCCATAGTCAGTACAATCTTCAGGACAATGCTTGCGTTAGCTAAAGTGGACGAGAAAATGGGGATGTGTCGACTGTAGGGAGCGGAAGGCAAGGAATCCTTCCCTCGTGTGACAAAGAAGTGGCCGAGAGGGATAGGAATGGTAAATATCACTTCAACTAAAGAACAAGTTCTGTGATGCCTAATTTGCCTGGGCTCTCCTCGGCTTCACCACAAATAGACAGGATCAACGTATACTACCGTTGAAATTGTCTGTTGTTGAATACGAACTTACACGAGTGTGTATGTGTGTGTGTGTGTGTGTGTGCGTGTGTTAGTGTTGCTTGTAGCCAGTACAGGACTAGACGCCTTCCATTCGGAAAGTTAATTCTGCTGAAGATGTTCGAAGAACTGCGTCGACTGGGCGCTACAGCCAAGGAACCACACCTTTGCAGCCTCAGGAGGCCGCTGACCTCGAGCCCGGCCTTCCAGACGGTTGGTCAAACAGTGCTTTGGCACATCTTGGCGCCCCCAATCGGCCACCCTGGCCAGACCGACCAACCAGGCCTCCCGTATTCCCACTGCGCAAGATGGCCCAATCGGCTGCGTCCGGGGCCCCCGCGAGCCCTTAGACTGTGCAGAACTGGCTGCAGAAGCGCCTCCATCCAGCGACCCTACAGCCTTCAGGTCAGCCTCGAGCCAATGGCCCGGCGGTCAGAAGAGCCTGTGTGGTTGGATCAACGGCCCGCCGAATGGCGACAGGACCAGCAGCACCGGCACAACCCGCAACAACAACAACAACAGCAAAAGTCACATTCGTCATCAGCCCCACAGCAACACTCACCACAATCACAACAGCAACATCAAATATCACAACCATCCCCATCATTATCGTCACAACAACAAGTACTAAAATTACAACAACAACAACAAATGTCTCAACCACCGCTATTATCATCTTCACAACAACAAGTATCACAATTACAGCATCAACAAAAACATCAAATATCACAACCACCGCCATCCGTATCGTCACAACAACAAGTACAAAAATTACAACAACAACAACAACAACAACAAATGTCTCGACCACCGCTATTATCATCCTCACAACAACAAGTATCACAATTACAGCATCAACAAAAACATCAAATATCACAACCACCGCCATCCCTATCGTCACAACAACAAGTACAAAAATT